CAATCTAACCATGTGCGTTACGATTCCATCTCATCTCTCTGGGCCTTTTGCTCTTGCTACTTTGCAAGAGCAAACTCGTACTCCTTGCAGCGCGGGGTGTCGAGTTGCTTGGGCTCCCACGTGGCATAAATGAACCGTTTGTCGTCTCCGTCTACGAAGGTGAAGAAATAGCGTTAGAAGCGCTTAGGAATACCCAAAGTATTCTCCAGATAAGAGTGGAAATAGGACTTACATACGAAGCGCCACATGGTTTCATCCACCTTCCAGTTGAACCACGTCTGCGAGACTTCCTTGGTGAATTTGGCCGCGATAAGACCCTCCAGAACGCACCTTTTGCTTTCCTTCACGAGAAAAATCTTATTTGCTTTGGTAAGAAGTTTCTCTCCAAAATCCTGGGTGAAATGCTGGAACATGACCACTCGGGGTTCGGTTTTCTTGGTGCTGGTCTCTGCGTTTGGGCTTTTGCCCTCGATGGCCATGATGTCTGCTGGATTCAGGTTGCTCGTCTTTTTGTTGTGTGTGAGGGTAAGGCTTTTTTTGACGATGGTGGATGGTGGAAGAGAATAGGAAGCTCGTGGGGGAATTATATCCAAGTGAAATTCATGGTTTGGCTTTCATCTGAACCATTACTGGAAATCGAGATTACTTGAAATTGCTAGTGGTTCCCACGCAGCGCGCTTTCTACTGTGGGCGGGTTCGCATTGTTGACTGACATTGCGGCAGCACTCCATCGGCAGGCGCTACCAATTTTTGTCCCAAGTACCTTATGTACCAAAATGGGTTCGATCTATCTTGACGAGCAGCTCAAGGGAAGTTAAGTGTAAAATCGGCACAATGAAGTTCAGCAAGTACCGACTGATAAAGATACTCTAGCAAAAGTTGTTCATTCTGGCTCGCTGATATCAAGACTGCTGTGTCAAAAAATGGAACCTTGGCATGCCCAACGACTACACGGATTAGATTTAACCTGACCTTCAAGATCGCACAAATACGGTTCCCTTATTTGACTCGGCAGGGAGTTCCTTCTCTAGACTAAGCAAGGTAAACAAAACCCTCACCAAGAGTTTGCCCAACCACTGTCCCTTCACTCACAACCACCTACCTACACAGACCCCCCTGAACAGAGTATACCCATAATGCCACCCCTCCCCCCTCATATCCTGCCTGACCTTGTAATTCCCCTCCGCCACCCTCAACACATCAAAGTCCACCTCCACCACCCTCATCTCCTCGCTCGCCACGCCCGCCGTGCCCCCCAGCGCCCCCAGAATCGGCACCGTAACCTGGCTCACCCCGCCCGCATTACAGAAAACAACAGCGCACGTGTTCTCGAACGCCCGCGCCACCGCCGCCGCCTCGAGGAACAGCTTCTCGCAGTCCGGGTTGAGCGCGCGCGCGACCGCGTCCACGTCGGTGAGCTGCCACCACGCCGGCACGACGATGAGGTCCGCGCCGTCGGCGATCAGCGCCCGGAACGCTTCGGGGAAGGCGAGATCCCAGCAGATGAGCAGGCCGGCGCGGATGGGTCTTTCTTTTCCTTTGCCGTCATCGGTATCGTTGGAGGCAGTAGGACTACTAGCGCTAGGGTAGGTCAGGGGCGTGTCAAAGGCTGTGTGGGGCGTGTGTGCCGCGCCGGCGGTGAGGAAGGGGCGTTCGGGGTGCCAGAGGTTTTTCTTCTGGTACGCGCCGGCGATGGCGCCGGTGGAGGCGGCGAGCCAGTAGGCCATGTTGCGGATCTCGACGGGGGAGTTGTTTTGGACCGCGAGATTGTCATCTTGGGTGGTGTTGTCAGGGGCAGGATGGACCTCGCAGATGGTGCCGGGGACAATGTTGATATCGAGCTCCTTGGCGAGTGCCTGGTAGCGGGCGAGATAGGTGGCTGACTCGGCCGAGGCGGACACAAAGTCTGGGTGGTCGGGACACCATGATGTCAGGTGGTATTCGGGCAGCACGGCGAGGTGGGCACCCTGCTCGGCGGCTTTGCGGATGTAGGACTCTGCCTTGGCGTAGTTTTCGGCCACGGCGACATCCTGGCGGTGTTGGTTATGAGCTGGGACGATGGAGGGATTGATTGGAATGGGGTATTTGAGGGGTAGCGGGCGTCGGGGGGATGATGGACTGGGCGGTAAAGTGGAAGGGAGAGCAAGGAGACAATAGGACTAATGACGGCAAGTGAAAATGAACTGAAAAGGGGAAGGGATCAAATTGGCTCCGAATATAGCTTCATCTGATGTATGTCGGACACTGAGATGAAGGTGGTCATGAAGAGAGATCAATGACATCATTCACCTTGGGCTGGAACTGTATCACAGCAATTTTGTAAACGGGCGCCATGGCTTAGTTTCTTTGTGGGTTGTTGTTTCTCCGTTTCAGGTGTGCAATACGTGAATTCAGATGTCGATGTGGAGGCTTGTAGACTTGAACTGCGTGACAGGTTATCTCTCTTCCACTGACCTTCCATGGTAACTTATTGAACCAGAACAAGACGAGGCACTCCCGTCCTTCGAATGGCCCCCGCGCAGCATGCCCCGCTCCCAGTGGGGACGGCCCGAGCACAGGAAAGCCTCGGACGACGCCTTGGATGCATGCCGCAACAATCCCACGCACACAGCCTCCAAGAGGTTGCAATCTAACCCGTATAAAAGTTTATCAGAAGCTTGTCTATTGTATTTGCTGTTTTCCTCACCAACCAGAGATCGTGTCGACATACAGATTTGCCGCCGTTTGCCCTCCGCTTTCCGCCGCGCGCTGTCTTTGTCATGCATCTATCAAAACAAGGGGGGCAGAAGCTCACTGCTGATGTTCCTTGTGCTCATAAATATGCCCGCCGCGTAATACTCCTAGAGGCAAGAATGCCCGCACCACCTGCTTTCTCTGCCGTAGTAAACGCCGTTCCATTCATGTCATTCGTAACCCCTTAGAGGATAGTTCCAAAGCTGGGTTGATATTGTTAGCAATGAGACTGATCATAAAACCAGAAAGCTAGCACTCACCCAAAAGTCTGCTTGATGCTGCGCACATAGTACTCCAGCCAGTTGCGCTTGGTGACCTCCTCCTGGCCCACAGGCACGCCGGTCCACTCCACGCGCATCGTGGTCACACCATCGACGTCATTCTGGTCAAACTCGATCTGTAGTTTCGAGTAGTGGCCTTTGGGCCACTGGCCCAGACGCCAGCTCTGCACGATCTTGGTCGGCTCCTGCAGCTCGAGGTACTCGCCCGTGACGTTTCCGCCAAAGAGCTCGAACTTGCCTCCCTTCTTGGCTCCCTCAAACACCTTGGGCGGGGCGCGCGTGAAGGCCGCCAGCCGCTGCGGGTCTGTGAAGGTCTGGTACAGCTCCGCCGCTGTGGTGCGAAACTCCTCATTGTCCGTCACCGTGGTGGTGTTGACGACGCTGCTCGAGTTGGTCTGTGTCGACGTAGTGGCGATCTTAGCACCACTGGCCGTCTGGGGGTAGGTCTTTGCGGGAGTAAACTTTGCCGTCGGGTTGTCGGCTGGGGCGTGCTGGATGTCCTTGCCGTGCTCGGCGACGAGAGCGGGAGAGAGCTTGACGAAGGCGGCACGCAGCTGGGGAACGAGCTTTGACCGAACCAAGTCCTTGACCGGCTGCTTCTCCTTGGCGTCTGCGTAGACGTCGATATCAAACTGTTGTGACCTTTGTTTAGCCACCCATCTCGCCGTAGAAGCTAGCGATTGCTATGCGCTGAAGGAAGCTCCAACCTACCACAAACTCGTTCATTTCAAGCTCGTGGGAGAGCTCAGGCACCGTGATAGTTCCCGAGACATCCTCAACGTCGGCAGTGGAGCCTGGCAAAAGCAAGAAAATCGGTTTAGCCTACGTTCATTCTCCTCCCGCGAAAAAAAGCTTCGTTCGTGGGGAGTTTTGTTTGGAATACAGATGGATGGATTCAAAGGAGTCAAGGAACAGAAAATGTGCTGTTGTTGCATGAGATGCATTTATTCTACGGATGTACGCACCTGAGTACTCCAACGTTAACTTGACATCAAAAATGGTAATGACCTTGCCCTTCCGCTGCGCCACGTCGACGTCCCCATCCATGCTGATGACCTTGCTAATCTTGGCATCCACATCTCCCTCCTTGGCCTCGATCTTGGTCAAGTTGTCCTCAAGCCACTGCCTCGCCCACGCCGAGGCATCCTTGTTGACCCAGTGCCAGTTGTTCGGATTGTGCAGAACCATTGTGACAGGTTGCAGATCGCGCGCGGCTTGTTTCTAAAAGAGATGTAGTCTACGATTTTCTGTTGGTTTCAGTCAGCAACCATGTTCCACACGAACTGAGTGTATGTGTCAAGTGTGTGGGGAAATGAAGCTTGATCAGAGATGGTTCTGGTGAACCGCAGCGTATCATCATAGGAGTGAGTACAAAGTCGCCCTAAGACTGGTGCCAGCTGAACAATCATCAGGGAAGCGCGGGAGGGGCGGGAAGCAAGAAGAGAAGGAGCGGTGAGACTGTACCTTTACCTAGTGTTGCTGGAAATGAATTGTCGCTGTGAGAATTAGTTGTTCGCAGAAATAGCAAAAGTGTGTGAAGAAGATGTCGGGCGAGGTGCGCCAGAGAAAGAAATGGGGGAAAGGAAAGGAAGGAAAGAGCTGCCCGCTCTTGGTTTTCTAGAGCTTTCCAGACTCCATTCTAGGCGGACAGTCGGGGCAGTATCTACGGAACAGCTCCAAGGCTGACGGAACAATTCGCCCAAGTGGGGTTAACTCCCCCTCCTCTTCCATCCAATTTCCAAACAAGCCGCGCAAACTGCACGCTGTCGCCCAGAAATCCACCTGGTCGCGCTTTTGCCATTCTTTCGATTGCAGCCGCAGCCCGCCAACCACCAGGCACAGAGCCAATCATGAAGCTGATCGACGGCAAATCTGCAGGGATCCTGACGCCGCTCAGCCTCGCCCTGTTGTGGGACCTCTCACCAACATCTCCATTCGTGACTCAAAGGTTCCGCTTCGCGCCTTCTCTCCTATCAAAAGATATCTGGGCTGATGGTCTAGAGGTATGATTCTCGCTTTGGGATTCGTTAATAGCGACTACTAAATTGCGAGAGGTCCCGGGTTCAATCCCCGGTCAGCCCCCTCATTACGATTACTTTTGCCCTTTGCAGCATCGTCAGCATAGGAGTGTTTTACTTTTTGTGGATTTGCTTCTCAAAATATTTCTCCATTTCAAAGAATACATTGCCTGTTCTTTTAAGTTTGGTACTGGTCGGTCTGCCTCAGTGTCCGTTGTACTTGCCCCCGTTGTTCTGATCATCACCCATCGTCTTCAGTGATGAACATGTCTTCCCAGCAAGTGTTCGAGGGCAGTTGATGAAAAGAAACCAGACCATGATGACCCAAGCGGATATATCGCTTTGGTAGATGGTTCCTCAGGTGCCCCTGAACAGCTGATTTTCGTTTGTTCGTATCCTTTTCTTTACGCCGTGGATCAATATGCGACCCTTTCATCAGTCACAACAAACAGATTGAGCTGCATCCAATATCCGATGCAGCGAGGGACCTTATTTCGCCCCACAAGTCCGGGATGCAGCAGACAGAAGCAGCGGGGTGCGACACCGGCGAGCAAAGAACCTAAATAAAGAAACGCTCGGCGCGACTCGACTTGGGTGGAGCGCCACTTGACCCGGAGCCGTGGTTGCCAAGGCTCGGCCAAGGGGCTGCAAGGAAAGACAACGGTCAAGGAAAGGGTTTGCCGAAGTATACCAAGCTGCTCCGACCCGACACAGAGGTCTGTCGACCACTCACTGCAGGTAAAAAATTACCGAAAGAACACCTTCCTGGCGATATGCTCGTTCGAGGGGCCCATAGCCAACTCCATCTCCAGCGGCTAACTCGCGAAGCTGGGAAACTATCCATTGATAGGGCGATAGTCACTCCCACAATCACTTCAAGTTCATGTACGAACGACTACCTCGACATCTATTTCTGTCGAGAAGCCAGTTCGGCCTAATCTTCATTCGGAAACCAATCACGTCAGCGTCATAATACTGTGATGAGACAAATCTTTCTTTTGCTATCCATTTGATCTCCGGTCGAATCTCCGGTCGACAGTGCAATGGGCGTTGGATATTTTGTTCGCAATCGACGACATTAATAATGGAAGCCACTTGTGTGCATAGGCCACTGCTATTAATATCGTCAAGTCGTCACAAAGGAGCTGACCCACCTTCCAGGGCTGGGAACATTGTGGGGAAGAGCTAGTTCAAAAAGTGTCCGCAAGAGGCGCGATTGTGCATCTAATTGGCCTTGGTTCAAAAGCCTCTCCTGACAGTTGCTTGGCTCAGGACTTGGTCGGGCTAGAAGGAGGCTCTTGGAGTCTCGATGACAGGAATTCGGCACATACGACGGAATGGACGGCTCAGGGACGATCATGCATCACCACCCAGGTCGCACAATATACAGGGCCTTACGAGTTCCGAGTTCCATCAACCATTCTCAAATCACCGTGCATGATCTCAATCTAAGAGTATTTGGAAGTCGTCGAGCCAGCACATAACCGCGTTGGACACCCTCTTGCCAAGTTGGTTCTGGTGAGTGAATGACTCAGGTATCCATATTTCACCTCCCGATAACGGTGAGTCGACACCCTTGTCGCTCTGTCCTAAGGAACTGGATGAAGACCAACAAAGTTTCTGAAATTGGTTACCGGAAAGGTGCGCTATCGAGGATTAACTCCAATGATACCCAATGATACTGTATCAAAAGCCAACGGAGATGCCGGGTTCACCATGGGTGGTGATAACAACGTTTGTTGGATCCGCTTGGCTGCCGAACACTGGACAAAAAATTATCTTGAAATTGATATCAACAGCAGTTGTGAGCGGGGTATTCTGTATCCAACGGCCTCGGAATCACATTCAGGGTTTTGGTGGGGCTGTCCTCAAATGGGTCAGGCAATCGACTTTCCCCCCACAAGGAGCCGAATCACATCGCACGAAGGAACAAGGGGTCAACTTTTAAGCGCCGGCATCCAACATCACAGGCCCATTGCACAGGGGCCCGGCGAATCACCAGCGAGCAGTTGAGCTGCCCAGGAACCAAGAATAGATTGCCGGCACACCCTCCGGCACAACCCAATCACCATCGGTGCCCTGCACTTGCCTGCACTTGCCTGCACTTGCCCCTCCTGTCTCGTTCGTTGCTAATGGCTAGACTCAACTAGTGGATCTCTGTGGTCGGTGGTCGATGCAATGCTCCCATGCGGCCAAGACCAGGGAATGAATGAATGAATCAATGCTTGCCGGTGCCCATTGTCACCGATGCGAACGATGCGAACAAATCAGCCAATCGCACCTGCTTTTTCCGACTTCCTCTGCGCAGTCTTTGAGATGCCATGGGGCGACTTGTGAAGAGGGAGGGGCCGTCTCTCGCGACCAGACCAGACCACCAGCGACGGTAGGTAGCCCAACGAGAATCCTCCTCTGTGCTACAGCAGCGTCGAACCCGACACTCAACCTGCATATGGTGTTTTGCAGCACCAGGTTAGCTCGATCTGCATTGCAGAGCTGCTCTCATCTGAATGGCCACGGCCAAGCATTCATCAGCAAGGGCTCGCACACGCAAGGGCTCGCACACGCAAGGGCAGTGGGAGGGGTGGATACACCAGAAACTTTGCGACAATCAGGGGAAGAGAGAGAGACATGGCACTGTCCTCTTCCGCAACGGCTGCAACGCCATCATGTGCCTTTCGTACACTGTACGGGGTAATAGCCAGTTAAGCACGGCGCACACACTATGTACGGACGATTGTGCATATGGAATACAGTGGCCCCCTTTGACACACTATATCGATGCCGTCGCCTAGGGACGATTGTGGCTCGCCTGGCAAATGGCGAATGGACGGCATGCGCGACGGTCGCGTTGTTTATTACCGTTGCAAAAAGACGGGCCAGCGCAGCCAGACAGGGTGTCTCGCTCGCTCGGGAGAAAGCCCGCTCGTCAAGAAGGCCCGTCTGGGATGGTACCTGTACTGTACAGTGGTCTGTACTGTAAGTGTAGTGGAAAATCGCTAAGGTCGCCTCGCTGCTGTGGTCACTTTGGTGGTGGTGTCAGTTTAAAACGGGAGGCCGGCTCCCGCTTTTTCCATGCAGCATGCTACAGTCTTTGCGGCGTAGTGCGCGATTGCCAGTGAGGACTGGGGTTCTGGTTGGGGGATAGCCTGTCTCGAGCCTGTCTCTCTGCCTGCTGGGTGCTGGGTCTGGAGCAATCTCTCTCTTATCTTGTTCGCCAGGCCTGCTGCCCCCCATCCCATTTGCTCGCGACGACCGTGGGTGCAACCTTTGACAACCTACTAAGGTACGCGACACTTCATCTTTCAGCCGCGCCTTCGCCTGACAGGTTTGAGTCTGCCTGCTGCCGCCATACAACCTCAGCTGTCTGGTTGGCCGTTAAATTCCCGGACCTTTAGACTCCGTCTTTTTTTCCTGTCATGGCCCAGCGGACGTGAGCAGAGAAGCAACCTGACATCTTGACACGACACCACCACCCGGCTGTGAATGGCGTAGCGGCATGGTCTATGAGGCTTGGTCTCTCTGACGTCGGCTCGAGACAGCTTGATGACATTCAAAATCGCACCAAAAGATTGAACAGGAATTTATCTATATCGCAAACCGATTCCAGGGGGCTGACAGACCAAGAGGAGGAACTTGCGGTCGTCCAGCAGGGCCTGGCGTAGCCTGGCAAGGTTGAGGAGGACTTCCAGATGCCGCCACTCATGGCCTCCTCGCGAGATCCCACGGCACGACTGCGCGCCGGACTGAACCCCCTCTTGACGGCGTCGCTGGGAGTTTACCATGGCCACAACCCCAACACGCCGCTCTCTGCTATGTCGGTGAGCTCTCACGGTGCCTTCTCTTCGGTGCAGACGCAGACGCCTGTAAGCGCCATCCAGCCATATAACCCACAGGAATGGATTGCATCGCCAACCGTCGGCCACGGCGGCCCGGAACGAATGCAACAGCTCCAGCAGGCCCAGCCATCGTTTCACGAGGCCCAGCGTGAGTTGACACGCATTTTCTGTAGCCGACAGTCGGCTTTACTGACATCTCAAAGCATCACCGCCTCCTCCCCCGCCTTACTCGCCTCCACGTAGCGCACGGCCGATGAGCATGAGCTTCGATCAGATGCAAGGGGGCAGTATGTCCTCACCCCGAGCTCCTCCGCCTCCGGTGCAGAGGATTGCCACGGAGCCTCCACCCGCAAATACAAACTTCCCTCCTCCCCCTGGGGTGAGAGGCCCTTCTCGTGAGCGACGTTTTGGGTTTCCCTCATTAGGGAGAAGGCGGGACACAGAACAAGCAAGTACACCCATAGAGTCCCACCCACAACCGCTTCGTCAGCATGGTCTACCCTCTCGCGCCATGCCCGTCCACCCTGGACCCCTTACTCTCGAGATTCCACAGAGATCCGAGGTGGATTTGTCTCAGAACATGGCGCCCGCTGCACGGCGAGCGGTATCAACGCCTGCCATAGCCACGCCAACTTCGGCCAGATCGAGATCTTCATCCCAGATCAGATGGGACCAGGGGATGCCAGTCCCACCGCCCCCGCCAGGTCCTCCACCATCGACTGCTCGATCCCAAAGTGTCCAGCGAATGCCGTCCGGGAGCGATCCAGTCGCCTCACCGCCAACACGAAGGCCGCCACCGAGCGGAGTCACTGCGTTAGGACCTGTACCGCCGACGCCAGCAAACTGGGAGGAGGCCGATATCATGTCCAGTCCCCAGCCGCGACCAGAATCGCCGAGTAATAGGGCCACACAAGTTGTCGAGACAGCCAGTGTGGGAAGCTCGTCTGCACACGCCGAGTCAGCCTCGAACTCATCAGCTTCTGGCTCGGGCTCAGGCTCGGGCGGATCCTTGGTAAGAGCACATGCGGTGAGGGGAGAGCAGACGCTTCGAGATCGACGAACTGCGAGTAGGACCAGGGGGAGCGCGCGCAACTCGCTCGACGGGTCGATTGGGGCGCAGCCGGCTTTGGACATTGTCATCCCATCGAGTTCAACAGGAGGAGGACTCCAACGGCGACCAACTATCAACAGAGGGACCCCCCGAACTGGCAGGAGTGATGGCCCTAGG